ATTATGAACAACAAATATGCATCTATCAACAAGTGAATCTAAGAATCAAGTGAATAAATAATCTGACGAAAAGAATAAACTGGTGAATATAATAGAATCAGGGGCATAGAAAGGGAGTGGACTGACTATTCTCGAGGGGGGGAAAGGGGTGTGGGGGGTGCAGGAAGAGACTGGACAAAAATCATGCACCTATGGATGAGGACAGTGGGGGGGGGGGGGTAAGGGCAGAGGGTGGGGTGGGAACCGGGTGGAGGGGAGCTATGGGGAGAAAAAAGAGGAACAAATGTAATAATCTGAACAATAAAGATTTAATTAAAAAAGAAAATAATTTTATGGTTGGAGGTCACAACATGACGAACTGTATTTAAAGGGCCAGAAAGCCCTAACCGGTTTGGCTCAGCGTATAGAGCGTCGGCCTGCAGACTCAAGGGTCCCAGGTTCGATTCCAGTCAAGAGCATGTACCTTGGTTGCGGGCACATCCCCAGTGAGGGGTGTGCAGGAGGCAGCTGATCAATGTTTCTCTCTCACAGATGTTTCTAACTCTCTATCCCTCTCCCTTCCTCTCTGTAAAAAAATCAATAAAATATTTTTTTTTTTAAAAAAAAAAAGGCCAGAAGGTTGAGAACCACTGGATTTTTTTTAGAACAAAATTTAATGTCTTTTCTTTTTTTAAAAATATATTTCTTTATTGATTTCAGAGAGGAAGGGAGGAGAGAGATAGAAACATCAATGATGAGAGAGAATCATTGATCGGCTGCCTCTTGCACACCCCCCACTGGAGATCAAGCCCACAACCGAGGCATGTGCCCTTGACCGAGATCGAACCTGGGACCCTTCAGTCCACAGGCTGATGCTCTATCCACTGAGCCAAGCCGGCTAGGGCTTTTTTTTTTTTTTTTTTAATATGTTTGTAGCTCTGACCAGTTTGCCTCAGTGAATGGAGCGTTGGCCTGCAGACTGAAGGGTCCCAGGTTCAATTCTGGTCAAGGGCATGTACCTTGGCTGCGTGCACATCCCCAGTAGGGGGTATGCAGGAGGCAGCTGATTGATGTTTCTCTCTCATCGATGTTTCTAACTCTCTATCCCTCTCCCTTCCTCTCTGTAAAAAAATAAAATATATTTTAAAAACATAAATAAATATGTTTGTAATTGATTTTACAGAGAGGAAGGGAGAGAGACAGAAACATCAATGATGAGAGAAAGTCATTAATTGGCTGCCTCCTGCATGCTCCCTACCAGGGATCGAGCTGGAAACCTGGAGGAAACCTGGGGAGCTATGGGGAGAAAAAAGAGGAACAACTGTAATAATCTGAACAATAAAGATTTAATTAAAAAAGAAAATAATTTTAATCAAACCGTGACCTACTGGTTCATGGGTCAAACCGTGACCTACTGGTTCATGGGTCAATGCTCAACCACAGAGCCACACTGGCTGGGCTATATGTCTTTTCTAGTGTTTTGAAACAAGAACTGTGGCAGACTATGACAGGTATTTTCGGACATAGCGTCTTTGCAGTATATATTTGTCACAAGCATTTTCGCCACAAAACTAATTGGCTATAAGGAAATTTTGCTGTAAAAGAGATAAATTAACCAGTTGAAAGTTTGGGGTTTTTTGTTGTTGTTGTTACTGTTAGGTTTCATTGCTCTATTGATAAAGTTCTCACTGTTACTCCCATTCTCGTATTATATATAAATCACAGCCAGCCCTCATAATGACCTACACAGTACCAAGTAGATGTGGTGGGGTCTTAAAATAGTTAGCATTTCTTTCAGATGATGATAATTTGCCCCAACAGTTTCTTATTTTAAAATACATTGGGAATGCCCTAGCTGGTTTGGCTCAGTGGATAGATCGACGGCCTATAGACTAAAATACATTGGGAGACAGAGGGTGTGGGCCTTCTTTGGGGGAATATGGTTGAGCCCACGTTTCCCACAGAATAAAGGCAAGTGCTTAGTTACAATCCATAAAATAAAATCAGTTATTTACACAGTATTGCCATGAATATACACACATTTTAAATGCGTATAATTATTTCATATTTCACAATAGGATTTTTTATTTTGTTACTCATTTTTTCATGTTTCATTATAACCTTTTAAAGATGCCTTTTATTTGTCACTAAAGGCCCGGCACACGAAATTCATGCACGGGCACGGTCTCTAGGCCTGGCCTGTGATCAGGGCCATCTTCCCCAGCTGCCCACAGCCAGCCCCGCCCTCCACCCGCCACCTACCCCTGGTTCCCCATTCACCATCGGGTGATGGAAGCCTGGCGGCCAGGGAAAAGGACCAAGAGGTGGTCAGTGTGCCTCATAGTGACTGGTCCAGCGGTTGTTCTGCTGTTAGGGTCAATTTGCATATTACCCTTCTATTATATAGAATGATTTTACCTTTTTCATTGCAAAATTGCCTATAGGCAATTGTTTATTTGGCAAAAATGTTTGGGGGGAAAATGCTCGCAGCAAAGATGTCTACGGAAAAGCTGATTATGGCAGAAGTACCTAGAACCAGCGCAAACAGGGAGCAGGGAGAGGTTAAATAACTTGACCAAAATCAGACACAATGAGTAGTGTGAACAGTGAGAGTGCTGCAAACCTGCTGGCCTGTCTGACTCCCATGACCAAGTAAGCTCTTCACACTTCGGTCTCCTTTCTAACACTATTGCTCTGCAACATCACACACAGAGTTCATATCACAGACACAGCGCTGTCAAGCTAACCTGAACATGCTACACCAATACTAGCGCCTATATGAGTGAATTAAACTTCTGTTAATGAAGGAAACTCAAGTTCTAATGAGGGCCCTGCACTGACAAGCTGCCATTCATTCTGACCCCAGAGAAAGGTGCTTTTATCTACATCACTAAGAATGTCAAGGAACTCAAGGCTGAGACTGAGTCTTCCAGCTTCCACTCCTTCCCACCAGTAGTGAGTAAAAGTTCCTGTCTCACTGCTTTCTACTGGAGAATGACATTTAAAAATTTTTTTAACCAAATTTACTTATTTTTAAAAAAGAGAATCTGAGTTGGGATCAATACAAAAACACATGTGTAATAAACTACCAAATTCAGGGTAATGGTTGTCTCTAAAGGGGAAGGCAGGAATGAGTTACAGAAAGACTTTCAGAGCCTCATCTGTATTTATAATTTCTTTTCTTTAATTGTGGGAGTGGAGGATACCAGTGTTTTTTTGTTTTTAAATATTTTTATTGATTTCAGAGAGGATGGGAGAGGGAGAGAGAGAGAAACATCAATGATGAGAGAGAATCATTGATCAGCTGCCTACTGCATGCCCCCCACCGGGGATTGAGCCCAAAACCCAGGCATGTGCCCTTGACTGGAGTCAAACCCACGACCCTTAAGTCCGCAGGCTGACGCTCTATCCACCGAGCCAAACTGGCTAGGGCACCAGTGTTCTTTATATTATTTTCTACACAGCTTTTGAATTTCATCAGTATTTTAAGTTTTGTTGTTGTTATTATTCCTCACCTAAGGATATTTCTTCCATCGATTTTTAGAGAAAATGGAAGGAATGGAGGAAAGAAGGCAGTGAAGAGAGAGGGAGAAGAGGAGGGGGAGAGAAGAGAGAGAGAGAAAGAGAAACATTGATGTGAGAGACACATCAATTGGTTGCCTCCCACACACTCCCCAGACCTGCAACTAAGGTACATGCCACTGACTGGGAATCGAACCCATGTCCCTTCGGTGCACAGGATGACACTGTAACAACTGAGATACCAGCCAGAGCCAATCTCACTTTAAACTGCATTCCCTGTTTACTAGGTGAAACCGAACATCTTTAATATGTTGCTTCTCTTTGGTATACTGTCCATACTTTTTGTGGGTATATTTATCAATGTCTTAGAGTTTATACCATCAGTTCCCATGATCTATTTATAGGTTGAATTATAAGCCTTTCACATATTTCTCTTGCATCTTTAAGGGGTAATCAAGTAGATGCTTACCTCCTCTAACATCATTAAAAAAATAATACTGTTGCTCACCCAGTGTGGCTCAGTGGTTGAACATCGACCTATGGACCAGGAGGTTACAGTTCTATTTGTGGTCAGGGTGGGTGTAGGCTTGATCCCCAGTGGGGGGCATGCAGGAGGCAGCCAATCAGTGATTCTCTCTCATCATTGATGTTTCTCTCTCTCCCTTTCCCTTTCTCTCTGAAATCAATAAAAATATATTTTTTAAAAATACTTCTGAGAGACACAATTTGACCTGAATGCTTATCCTATATGTACACATTTTGGACACAGAATTTCAAAAATGATCTCATACTAAAATCTTACCTCTGTGCCACAAAATATTGTCAATGTTACTTTTAATCCCTTATAACATTTTTTAATTTACATAAAACACTCACATTAATCAACATATTCTTGGATTCATTCTCCCATTACAGTTTTATTTTCATTATGAAAGAAACACCAGGGGCTCAAGGTTCACTGATGGCAACCCCTGAAGAAGAAAAATCTATTTGATTTCTTTCTCTCTGGGGAAGAGGACCCACCTGTCCAACACAGCGAAGGGAGGCATACATAAAGGAAGTAGCGATACACAGTGTAGCATGAGAACAGACTATAGTTAGTCAGCAAAGTGACTATAATTAACCATTGTGGACCAGTAGTTTTATTGCTAGCTTTACCCATTGGCCAGATAAGTTTCTACTGAACGAGTACAAAACAACGTTTTACATAAATGTTAAAGGCACGCTTTAAAATTAAATACCCATTGCCTTTTGAAGTTATTTATTACCTGTTCTTACAAGCTAATATCTTTTTAAAGTATGATACTTTGTAAAACACTGTGTAATATGAAGCGAGAATTCTCGTGATCCGCCCGCAATGTGTTAAGCAAATACACAAATATTTATTGAATATTTCTACATATAAGTGCAGAAAACAGAGATAGCATTTCAGAAGTAACTCTCAGAATTAAACAGATTAGAGTACATCTTTATTGAACACTGACAAACACAAAAATTACCTTGCAAATAATCTGCCAGGTCTCCACCATTGCAATACTGATATATAAAAGAAAGAGTAATTAAAATAAGGACACCAGTTCAAGATTAATCCAATCCACTACCAGTTAATTTTAATTAAAAATTCATTTGTATGTAATGTAAGTCTAGTCTGAAAAACGTAAGTATAGAATCAAAAAATTTTAAGACTATTTTCCTTATAAATAGAATCTAAATCACTGAATCAACTTTATTAATTCAAAATTTCAAATAATTATATACTCTCAATTTTAAAGTGCATATTAATCAAAAGGAATTGAAATAAATTATGCAGAAACTTATATACTACCCACCTCCATCACCAGGAAGACAGAGTTGGGTAATTCCTGAAAAGTAACAACATAAAACATCATTTAGATTAGAAAAAAAAATTAAGCACAAATTTAAAAAGTAACTTTAACAAAAATACTATACTTGTTCATTATTAAACAAATAAAAATAAATCACAATATCCACTAGCAAGTGTAATTTTAAATCCCCACCACAGTGATTTAAGCATCTCAGCTTCAAAGCCAAATCAAATTTTGCTGACACTAATGTAGTCATCAAGAAGTTCAATTCTGGTCGTGGGAAGAACAAAAGAAAAACTCATCTTTTGGTCACGGTTATGGTTATGGTTATGATAAATTTACCATAACCATAACCATAACCAGAGTCCTCAGGGAAGCACTTCTACTTTGAAGGTTCATGGTCTGGAACAATGACTTGGTAATCCTCCCTCCAACACTAAATGCACAGCTTCTGGAATACATCATCCAGGATACTTCATTTTTTTTTCTTTCTGGTTTTTATGTTTATTTGGAGGCAATCCCATTATCTGGGAATTTTTAGGAATTCTCTTGAAAACATTTCATCACATCTTGGTAACAAACTGATTTGAGAAATTTTACCCAGTCTCTCAAATTAATATAGCTCCAGTTCTGTTGCTTGATTAAGCAATTCAATGACTGATTAGCTGATTCTTCAAAAACAATTTTTATAATGTTAATTAAATTTTAAATTGGGCTTCCGCTTCCGCTTCCGTATGGCTTAACTTGAGCCACTGTTCAAATATGACTCAAGAGACAGCCCTTCCAAGTAGCACTTGGCTTCACCAAGATCCTAAATTCAAGAGTAAGGTATTCTGTGGGACTCTCCCCCTCCTCATATGGGAGTCCGTTCTGTGGGACTCTTCCCCCACCCAACATGGGAGTCTGTGCAGTGAGATTCTTCCCCTCCCCACATGGGAGTCTGTACTTGTTCTTCAATAAAGCTCCACCTCTGCTATACAAAATAAAAAGAGTAAGGTATTCTATGGAAAAAGGAGCAATAGGGCAACAAGAAGCAGGTGTAGGGCAGTATTCCTGAGTGTGAGGTCCATGGCGAATTATGTGGTACTGGCTCACAACGAAATAACTACAGAAATTAAGAGTAAGAATTGTTTACAGTTTAAAGTAATTTAACAAAATAATTTTATGTCTGTTAAACCTAATAATAAAAACTATGGACCGTTTGTAGGACCTTTTACATTTCATTGTCAAAGTTCATTTTTATTGGATTTTACAAAAGTACTAGAGTCCCGGTGCACAAAAATTTGTGCACTTGGGGGGGTCCCTCAGCCCAGCCTGTGCCCTCTTGCAGTCTGGGACCCCTTGGGGGATGTCCACCTGCTGGCTTAGGCCCGCTCCCCGGGGGGATCGGGCCTAAGCTGGCAGTCAGACATCCCTCTGGCAGCCCGGGAGCCCTCGGGGGATGTCCACTTACCAGTGGAGAGCAGGCCTAAGCTGCAGTCGGACATCGTTAGCGCTGCTGAGGCGGGAGAGGGTCCCACCACCACCGCTGTGCTGGCAGCTGGCAGCCTGGCTTGTGGCTGAGCAGATCACCCCCTGTGGGAGCGCACTGACCAGCAAGGGGCAGCTCCTGCATTGAGTGTCTGCCCTCTGGTGGTCAGTGTGTGTCATAGTGACCAGTCATTCCCAGTTGTTCTGCTGTTAGGGTCAGTCTGCATATTACCCTTTTACTATATAGGATAGAGGCCTGGTGCATGGGTGACAGCCGGCTGGTTTGCCCTGAAGGGTGTCTCAGATCAGGGTGGGGGTCCCACTGGGGTGCCTGGCCAGCCTGGGTGAGGGGCTGATGACCGTTTTCAGGCTGGCCATGCCCCACAGCAACCCAAGCTCCCATCCTCTCCTTTTTTTCTTTTTTTTCAGCGCCTCCTTGAGCAGAAGCCAGGGCAGGCTGGAAGCAGGTATCTGGGACTTATTTATCTTCTATAATTGAAACTTTGTAGCCTTGAGGAGCAGGAAGCTTGGCTTCCTCCATTGCCAGGGGCAACCCAAGCCTCCTGCTTGCTCCAGCTCCATGGCCACCGCTATCTTAGTTGGGTTAATTTGCATACTCGCTCCTGATTGGCTGGTGGGCGTGGCTTGTGGGTGTGGTGGAGTGACATTTATTTGCATCTTTCTCTTTTATTAGTGTAGATCAGTTCACACAGATTAGAAATAAAAACTGGTTTCTCACAACAGCTACTTCAGGGTGACCAGGCTGGCAGAGGGGTTAGTGAGGGATGACCAAACGACTGAGCAGCAGGCTGCATGGGGCGACCAGGTCAGCAGGGGGGGTTAATGAGGGACGACCAAACGACTGAACAGCAGGCTGCGTGAGGCAACCAGGCTGGCGGAGGGGCCGTGAGGGGCGACCAGGCCGGCAGAGGGGGCAGTTGGGGGTGATAAGGCTGGCAGGAGGGGCAGTGAGGGGTGACTAGGCCGGCGGGGTGGGGGGTAGTTGGGGACAACCAAGCTGGCAGAGAGGGGCAGTTAGGAGCAACCAGGCCGGCAGGGAGGAGGCTGTTGGGGGCAACCATGCCAGCAGGGGGGGCAGTTAGGGGCAACCAGGCAGGCAGGCAATTAGGAGCCAGCAGTCCAGGATTGTGAGAGGGATGTCCAACTGCCAATTTAGGCCCGATACCCAGGATCGGGCCTAAACCGGCAGTCGGACATCCCCCAAGGGGTCCCGGATTGGAGAGGGTGCAGGATGGGCTGAGGGGACCCCCCCTCCATGCACGAATTTCATGCACCGGGCCTCTAGTTCAATAAACAGGATGAAAAAAGTGTCCATCTTTAATGAAACCAACAAGTCATCAATAAACAAACTGAAGTTCAAATGACACTGGAGCACCAGGAACAACTTGAAGAGAGACTTGTTGGGTCAGAAAAGCTGAGAAATGGGGCCAGTATAACCTGTGAGCCAGACCACGGAGGGTTTACTGAAGCTGTACACGTTTATCCTCCTTTCCTAATATCAGGGAATCTTCGCTCCCAACTACCCCTCCATGTTGCCATCAACAAAATTAAACATCATTAATTTCATTTAATTATTTCACTATTCAAATGCCTTAATAAGTTAAAAACCAAATCTCCAAAAAGAAAAAATTAGGATACTATTATGAATGTTATGCCAGTATTCTAAAATTTAGGTGAAACATTAACAAACAATTTAAAGAAAAACACAGCTTACTAAAATTGACAATAAATAGAAAATTTGAAAGGGCCCATATTCATTAAAGAAACTAAATAATAATTTACAACCTTTCCACACAAAACTACCCCTTGTAATCCCAATAAAAATCCAAGGTTTTGTGCATGTGTGGAAATTGACAAGCTAATTCTAAAATTTATGTGGAACTACAAAATGTGAAAGAATAACTAAATATAATCTAGAAAAAGAAAAGTTGGAGGACTTATACTACTAGATAGCAAGGCTTACCATAAAACTACAGTAAGGGCCCTAACCGGTTTGGCTCAGTGGATAGAGCATCGGCCTGAGGACTGAAGGGTCCCAGGTTCGATTCCAGTCAAGGGCATATACCTTGGTTGCAGGCACATCCCCAGCAGGGTGTGTGCAGGAGGCAGCTGATTGATGTTTCTCTTTCATTGATGTTTCTCACTTTCTATCCCTCTCCCTTCCTCTCTATAAAAATCAATAAAATATATCCAAAAAAAAAAAACAAAAAAAAACTGCAGAGAGAAACCAAGATGGTGGTATAGGTAATCACCTATACTTGCTGCCTCTCACAACCACATCAAAATTACAACTAAACAGCAGAACAACTACCACCCAGAACTACAGGAAAGCTGTATGAGTGGAAATTCTACAACTAGAGAGGTGAAGAAAGTGCATTGAGACTGGTAAGAGGTGTGGAGGCGTGGAAAGTACTGGCACCTGGATGTGCTGTTCTTTAAACCAGGAGGGAGATAAAGCTCCCACTTACTCTGAATTCCAGTTACAGGCGAGACTCTGGGGGACCCAGACACATACGGGGAGAACTAGACTGTCTGGAATTGGGACAGGAACGTGAGGGCAGCTTACTCTTAGAAGTACTCGCAGCAATCATTGTTCCTGCACGGGTGCGCGGGATTCGGAGAACCAGGGACTTCTCTGGTTCACGGAAGCCATTGCTATTTGTTCCGCCTTGGTGATTCCCAGAGACCCTGCCCCACCCAATTTAAAACCCCACCCAAGCTGTGTGCATCGGCTTTTGCATATGAATGGTCTGTCCTTTCGTCTAAAACAAACTACAGCTGGATCAGAGAGGACCAGAGATTCCAAAAGAAGGGCCACTACCTGGCAGTAGTAGCAGCCTTGCTTCACAGCTGGGCCTCATCTGGGTACTTCCAAACCCATACAAAGAGGAGGAATCTATAGATGTCTCTGTAGCTCCTGCTGGGCGGCCCCAGACAGTAGCTGACCTCGCACCTCCTTGGAGACGATAACGGATTACAACTCTTCACATCCATAAGAGACACACTCAAGGGGCAGACTCAGTGAGCACCAAAGCCCCACTGAAGCAAGTCCTGCCCCATAAGCGTGTCTCCTGCGCAACAGATCTTCCAGTGTAGACACAGCTGGTCACCACAGCCAATTGGCCTGGAGGTCAATTCCTCCTAGTGATACCAACAGCAATCAAGGGTTAGCTACAACAAGACTGGGCAAACATCCCACAAAGGGGTGCACCAAGAGTGTCCACCTCAGGTGACTGGGGAGGCTGAGCCACTGGGCCATGTAGAACACCAACCACACAAGGCCACTCTATCAACTCAAGGAAACTTAGCAGGTACTCAGTACACAGAAACAAACACAAGGAAGCAGCCAAAATGCAGAGACAAAGAAACAGGTCACAAATGAATGAAATGGATGAAAGCAAAATACTGGATAGAGAGTTCAAAACCTCGGTTATAAGGTTACTCAAGAATCTTCTAGAAACCTCTGAGAAATTTAGTGAGACCCTCAAGGATATGAAAAAGGACCAAGCAGAAATTAAGCATACACTGACTGAAATAAAGAATAA